GTGGGCTGTCGGTGAGCACAGTGGACGTGGGATGTGGGGACGGACCATGGGTCCCCAGAGTGGAGACAGGAGGGGTGGGACTGAGGCTGTGGCACCCCGGGAACACGGCTGCTTGCAGCCACTGGCTGGGACTGTGAGACACGTACCTCCTCGGTCCCCAGGCATCCCTACCTGTCAGAGGGGACAGGAGGAGGGCGGGACAGGGGGCCTCACGAGGGCCTCCAGGACCCTGAGCGCTGTGTCCGTCTGCAAAGCCGCGCCCCCCCCCCCCCCACCCCGGGCCAGTGTTTCAGGAGCCCGAACGGTGTGCCCCTGAGTGTCCTCATACCTGCCGGACGCCCGTCCCCAAGAGGCGCCCCAGACCCTCAAGCTGACACGCTCCACCTTCTCTCAGGCCCGCCTGCCCCGGGTCCCAGCTCCGACGGGGCTGCTGGCCCCTAAGAGCCACAGACTTTCCAAGACTTCCCGCCTCCTCACCCACGTGTGCGACCACGCCCTGGCCCCTTGCCGCCAAACATCCCCAGGCTTCCCCTTTCTGACCATCGTCACCACCAACCACGTCACTTCTTGCCTTGACTCAGTGTGAATCCCGCCCCCCCTCCACCGTGGGGCCAGGGTCTCCCACTGGTCAGTCCTTCATGCTGCCCCCGGGCCACCTGCTGTATCAGGCCTGGCCCAGCTGCTCCGGGCAGCTGACCTCTCCGTCCGTCCCCCCCCCCCCCGGTCTCCAGTTCTGCACCAACAATCTGTCGGCTGTATCGCCCCTGAGCCTGGGGTGTGTCAGAACCAACCCCTGGCTTTTCCACATGCTGTCGCCTCTCCCCAAAAAAGACATCTCTATTCGTCTCCCTGGAGAACTTCTATTCATCCTTCAAAACCAGCCCTGATGAGCACCCGTCTGCCGGGCACCTCCGCGCACGTGACCTTATGTCTGCACACCTGTCCCTCCGTCGTCCACTCGGTCCTTGAGAACAGGGGCTGAGTCTAGCTCTCTCATTTGCTCCTTTCTTCCTCCTTTCCTCTCCCTCCCCCAACCCTAACCCGTCAGATCGGCCCCGGGCGTGCGGACGTGCCCGGGTCTGTCCCGCGGTTCGCACACGTGGACGGAAGTGATGTCCCGGACGAGCCCTCTCTCCAGTGGGGCCCACGCTCTCCAGGGGAGACGGACGTCCTCTGGAGAGACCCCAGGAGAATTCCGGCCTCCAGGCGGACATCTGGGTGGGCGGGGCTACTGAGCAGGAGGTCAGGGAGGCCCTTCCTGAGGAGGAGACACTGGGGCTGAGAGCCGGTGACGGGGGGACGCTGAGGGAGCTGGAGAGAGGGGCCCTGGGTGGGGAACGGCTCTCCCAGAGGCCCTGGGGCAGGTCAGAGCTGGGTGCACCCAAGGGGTAGGCAGGTGATTGGAGAGAAGCAGGCGGGAGGGGCCGGTGGGGCTTTGGGAGGGGGGCTGAGGCTCATTCCTAAATGGAACCAAAATCTGGGGGGGGGGGGCAAGTGGAGAGAGCAGAACAGATGAGAGACAAAGTCTGGCTGGTTGCCTCACCGAGCTCTGTGTCTAACCTGTGCCCCCAGGACCCCCGTACAACCCCGGGGCGGCCCTGGAAAGATGCCGAGGCCGCGTTCCCAGCCCCGGGCCCTGCCTGCTGGCTGCTTCCCCTGCCATCCAGCCTTTGGCTCACACATCCCCTCCTCCGGGAGGCCCTCCGGATTGCCATTCCCAAAGCAGCATCCCTGACGCTCTTCTGTTCTGTCCGTCCCTGGCTTTGTGGCCCAGCCCACCCCCCCCCCCCCCCGCCCCGGCCGTGTCCCCACCAGCAGGCAAACTCCTCAAAGCCAGGGACTCGTCGTTCCACTTGCCTCGGCCTCACCTCTGGGGCCCAGGGCGACACCCGGCATGCAGCCGTGCTTGGTGAAAATTTGCCCGGCGGACCGTGGCGCTCCGCCATTCTGCTTCCTTCCTTGAGATTAACACGCGTGGCTTTCTCTTCAAAGAGCAGCCCGTGTCAAACTCACAGGGCGTCTGCCTCTGCTGTGGCTCAGAACTCATTACCGCCCAGCCGCGGTGGACCGAGCTCCAAACAAATGCTCGAGGTCCCTCTTTGACCCGGCCGACCTTCCGGGGAGCTCAGCGTCATAAACCGTCACTGTCTCTGCAGGCGGGGAGCACCGAGGACAGCTCCCGGCACCGCCGTGTCCCCCCGAATTAGGAGCTGGGTCTCGGGATCTGGCGTGGCCGGGAGCGTGCTTCCCCGTGAGAGCGGCTCTTGGCGTCTGAGTCCGCGGACTCGCGCTCCGAACCGGAGAAGCAGAAGGTGTGTGTTTGTTTTTAGAGGCGGAAAGAACCGGTGAGTGAACGGAAAGGGCCTGCCCAGAGCCCGGCACCTGGACTCCCGCCTGGCCACCGGGACTCTTCCCCTGAGGCTTTGCGAGGTCCCCTCCTTTTTTATAGGTGTAGCACAACGACCAATTCGGGTGGTCAACCCGAATTGACCACCGTAACCATTTTTACGGGCACAGCTCAGTGGCATTAAGGACAAGCCCCCATCCGTCTCCAGGACCTCTGTCGCCTCGCAGAACCAGAACTCTGTAGGCTCTACGGATTCATGTGCCCCGCCTGGTAAATGAGGACGGTGCCCCCGCCCCTGCGCGAATCCTCGGGGGAGAAGCACTCAACCCACGCGGAACAGAAGCTCTGCAAGGGTTGGTTCAGCCTGGATCCGAAGAACTCCAGTATGCACGTCGCTCTGCAAGCAGCTTCTACGGTGAACACATCAAATGCTCCTACGAGTATTTCCTGAAGTTGTTTTGAAGGAAGTTGTGTTAAAAGCTTGCTTTTTGTAACCACAAAACAGGAAACAAACGCCAGCTGGGGAAGGGAGGAAGCAGACATAATGTTTCCAAGGTTCACCGGGAGGTCTGTATCCGATGCTCCCCTCTGCTCATTGTTGCGGATGCGTCACGGAACTCGCCAGTTGTAACCCTTAGCGAACGCACGGCTCTGGGGCATTAAGCACAGCCGCCACCGGCCGCCTGCAGAACTTTCCTATCTTCCCAAACTGAAACTCGGTCCCCACCCAACACGAGCTCCCCCCAGCTCTGGAAAGCAGCGCCCCTCCCCCACCCCCGCCTCCGGGAAGTGCCTCCTGCCCGTGGCACATGCACACCACCGTCCGTGTCCCCACCACCGATGGACACGCGGGCTGTCCCCACCTGCGAGCAGGGCGCTCAGAACCCGGCGTTCTAGCGTTTGTCCCACGCTGCAGCCTGGATAGGCCTCGGACGTGTCACGTTCAGTGGCCCGTATTCTGTGATCCCATTTACGTGAAGCATCCAGAAGACGTAAATAAATCCGTAGAGTCAGAAAGTAGACCAGTGTTTGCCCGTGGCCAAGGGTGGGGAGGTGCTGAAGGACAGCTCCCGGCTCCAGGGTCTGCCTTGAGGTGATGATGGGACTGTTTTTAGGTAGAGGTGACGTTTGAGCAACACTGCACGTGTGCAGAAGCCGTGGAATCGTAAACTTTAAGATGGGTACTTTTAGGGGCGCCTGGGCGGCTCAGTCGGTTGAGCGTCTGACTTCGGCTCAGGTCATGATCTCCCGGTTTGTGGGTTCGAGCCCCACGTCGGGCTCTGTGCCAACAGCTCGGAGCCTGGAGCCTGCTTCGGATTCTGTGTCTCCCTCCCTCTCTCGCTGCCCCTCCCCTGCTTGTGCTCTCTCTCTCTCTGTCCCTCAAAAATAAATAAACGTTAAAAAAACTTTTTTTAAAAGAACCCCAAAGGGGCAGGCAGGGCCTCGAGGTCAACCCCCTGGGTCTGCCCAGGTAAGACCTGAGTGGGTTGAGGCAGTCAGAAGCTCTGAGAACATTCTGTTAGCTTTGTCCTCATGTGATTGGGAGGGTCCCGCCCCACCCGGGCCTGGCAGGGACCACGCCTGGGCCGCCTGGGGCTCGCTCCCTTGCTGCTGGGTCCAGGCCCTGGCACAGACACTGAGACACTGAAGCCCGGGGCCCGCGGGGCCAGGGCGGCCTGCAGGCGAGACCTGCGGGCTCTGGGGCTCACCTCGCGCCTCCCAGCGCCCCTTCTGCCCGTCCGCCTGCCGGCTGACCTTAGGGGGCTGCGGTGAGAAGGTGGAAAATACCGTCACCCCAGATCCACGCCAGCCAGGCACAGTGCTGAGTTTCACCCCGGGGCTAGGGTCACGGCTCAGCCCAAAGTGGGGGCCGGTTTCACACGTAGAGATTTATCAGCAGGAGGATTCGCCCTCACAGTGCACAGGTGCCTCGGGCCAGGAAGGCAAAAGGCAGAGGTGAGAGACAGACCTGGTGTTTCTTCTGCGCGTCCCCGTGGAAGGGGGAGAAATCGGTGGGATGGACACGGCCTCACGGTGCGGGGAGGGGGGGCAGGGGTGGAGGCCTCAGGGCAGGGGGAGCTCCCGCTGGGAGGAGGTTAGTACTTTATTTGCTGTGAAACCGCTCAGGACCATTAGTGACCCCTAGATGCTTAGTACCCCGCTAACGAAGAAGCAGCTGATGATGCCCCTGGGGGCAGGGGGCGCGTGCAGACATGCTCGGTCCCAGGAGCCGCGCACAGAAAACACGCCCCTGGCACAGACCGAGACGCCCTGCATGCCGAGGGCGCGGCCAAGAGAGGAAATCACTCACCACCAGCACGGACGGTTCAGACCCACCTCTGCTGTCTATGGGCCATGTGATCGCAGGCTAGTGCCTTCAAGGCTGATAAAGTCCGTGATGCTTGAAATGTCTGGAAAATCAGGCTGCCCTCAGGTGCATAGGACAAGCCCCGATCGGAAACATCTATACGTTTTGGAGCGTTGGCGAACAATTAGGCTTCTTGTAAGAAACAGCGGCCTCTACTTGGTGGATGCTGCTGCCTGTCGGATCGGGGAGCCCGGGGTCCATGCAGCCTGAGCGGTCCGGGGATTTTCAGCTCAGTTAGCCACGGAGTCAGGTGTTCCCGACAGCAGCCCACAAGGGGAAGCGGTATTGAAAGAGTTGCTTTAATAGGTGTTGGGTGAGGGATCTGCGAACCCCAGGGCAGAGGCCAAGAACGGGCCCAGCCCTGCAGGTCACGGCTGAGCCTCGCTTCCCAGCAATGGCCGCTGACATTAAGCATACGGTTGCCAAGAACCTGGAAGGCCTGAGGTTTTGCCTTGTCTGCAAGCCGGCAGTTTGGTTTGCTACAGTTTCGTGGATGCTGGAGAAGACACGAGAGTCCCGGATCAGAGACAAGAGACTGTGTTACAACCAGTAGGCGGCACTCGTGGGAAGACGCGAGGGGCCTGGGTGGGTGCTGCACGTGCAGCGGGCTCGTGTCACAGCCGAGGAATCCGAGCTCACTCACGACCAACTTTCATGACAAGCACACCTGCCGACCTCTGCCATGGAGGGCAGGTCTCGTGACTACCCTGGACAGCGATCGAATCTGCCCTCTGCCCCGGAGAGAGACTGTATCTTCCAGAACCGGTTACTCTACAGACACGCAGGGAGAGGTCACCCAGCGATCACGACTGTCTTCAGACAACACGTGGAGACGTGGGAGAAGTGTCTCCTCATGCCGTCTGGGAACAAGGAGAGCGGTAAATAATGCCTTCCAAAACCCACCAGTGCCAGGCCACAGCGTCTCACAGGACGTGGGAGATGTTCTGTGCCGATGTCCCGTGTCCGGCAAGGAAGGGGTGCCCGCCAAGGACCCTCTTTCATAACGTGGCCCCGCTTTCCACCCGTGCTGCCTGTAGGTTTTAGCGGCCGAGGGAGACACGTACGGTGTGGGCTGTGCCACGTGATGAGGGCTGAAACAGAGGCCTTTACCTGAATTGTTTGTTTTCCGTTAGGACAACGTTCTCTCCTCGTTACCGTACGTAAGACGTAGGGGTGGCAGTTACCTGCACTGGAGGGTTCACAGGTGGCAGAGGACGAGGCAGAAGGGCCAAGACAGAACCCGAGGAACATTCTAGACTTTAAAAATACTGGACGTGGCCACTGCACTGGACCCAGCCACCCAGGGGCGCCCTTTAGTTCTGTTCTAAAATGACTTAAGTCCCACCAGAGGTGCTCGCCACCAAGATGGCGGGAAAGCGGCCTCCTTGTTGACGGCACCTCACCCTCACCCCCAGCTCCTTGACTGTTTCGAGGGTGGAAGGGGTCCACAGGCTTTCTGTTCTCTGCCTCAGCTGGGAGCCTGTAGGGTTCAGCCTGCAGAGATGCCCTGCAGCCGCCCCCACCCTGGGGTCCTGCCCCCTTCCCGGGACATGGCCAGCAAATGGGGTGCGGCTCCCGGACCTATGACTCTTCCCCTATTTCCAGCCCTGCAGAAATTGGCTTCTAACCTCCTGTCACCCTCTGAGGCCCTTTCTTCCTGTCCCCCTGGGGACATCAAGCCTAACCTCATCAAACAGTTTAGGTTTCTAACAAAGTCTGGAATATCCTGTGACATCAGGCAACGTCTGCATTCTGCCCTTCAAAAGAATCCCCGAGGCAAGGAGCTGCAGAAAACCGGGTGATGGACTTGAAATGGAAAGGGCAAGAGACAGAACAGAGCGGTGCAAATTAATATCCCAAACAAGCGTTTTCCCACCTGCGTGAGCTCTGAGCAGATCACGACCAGCGTTAACACCAAACAAAACCTTCCAGGCAGCGGTAGTTATGTGCTGTTTCCTCCCCTCCAGATGTGGATACAATGTATTTCCTCCGATGGGTCCCAGTTGCACGGTGTTTAAACCATGTTGCCAGAGATGAATGGGGGCTCCAGGCATCTGTATTAAAGAGGAAGCAGTGAGAGCACTTGGGTGGCTCAGTCAGCCCAAATCATGATCTCCTGGTCCGTGAGTTCCAGCCCCGCGTCGGGCTCTGTGCTGAGAGCCTGGGTCCCCTGTGACCTCGGCGGCCGAGCATCCAGAAGCTTGGCCGTGTGGGGGCAGGTTCTCCTCGTTCAGCCACAGCGGGAACCGCTGAATTCCAGCGTCTCTGCTTGGCTTTGTCAACCATGCTGGCTGTCACCTGTCCCCGCTGTTCCCCCCAGCTCACCGGCAAGCTTATCTCTTTGCTCCCGTATTGATCTCCCTGGCTCCCCGCGGCCACCTGGGTGTGCTTTGAAGCTCCTGGATACGCGGGGGCCCTAGGTCGGGGGTTCCTCGAAAACTTCTGTCCGAAAACGGCTCCTGCAGGGGCCACATCTGGTTCAGATAAGATAAGAAGCTTCCTGGCTCCGCACAGGAAGGAAGGCGAGGGGAAAGTCTGTGCTGTGACCGGCGGGAAGGCCCCGGGGTTGGGGTGGGCCTGGTTTCCTTGGAAAATAAATGCTCACTTCTTAAGATGAGTTTGACCCTGCTGAAGTGTCCAGAGCTGGAGGGGTGGCGATACCAGGAAGGACTGCTCGCTCTTTGTGGGGGGGGGGGGGGGGGGCTCCGTTCCCGGCGATTCGGTGCAGCCACTGCCGAATCCGATAGGTCACGTTCCATTTCGAGTGACGGGAAACCCAGACGAAACTCATTAACCGAAAGTCAAAAATGCATTGCCGCATAACGGTGATGGCTGGAGTACGCGGTGGGCACGGCGGACCCTGTGGCGGGTCCCACGGGGGGCGTCTGAGGGTGTCCGCGGTGGGTCTCCAGGAGCCCCGAGAGACCCGGGCTTGGAGCCCCGGCTTCGGATCCCGCCTTCGCCACACGCGAGCTGTGCGGCGTGGGCCAGGATTTGGGGCTGTGCCCGCGCTCAGTTTGGGGATCTGTACGATAGGGCGGTGGTGGTGACAGGGTAAAGGCGATGTGGCACGTGGACAGCCGTGCACCCAGCCCGAGCTCGTTAAACAGCGCGGCTCAGAAAGGATGGAGGCTGTTTCCTCTCCTGCACCTGCTGCTTCCTGGGTCCCGGGCCACAGCTGTGGGTGCATTTGTGAACCGTCCCTCTGTTGGTCCCTTCCACGCACCGGGTGGGGGCATACGGCCCGGGCTTGAGCCAGCCGCCGCGCTGCCTTCTCCAGGAGTGGAAGGTTGGCTCGCGGCCGTCTCCCGACGAAGCGAGTCTGGTTGGAGAAGCCATCACAGCTCTGCTGTGATGTAGGACAGAGATGCCCCCCGTCCCCCCGCCCACTGGACTCAAACCTAGACACAGGCCCGGAAGCTTCGGGCGCTCATGTTGCAGCCACGAGGGAAGAAGCCAAGTAAGAAAGGCATCAAGACAGAGGGGGCGGAACCCAGACAGCGAGAGAGGTCCCTGTCCGTGGTGATGTCGTTTGACCCCTGGATCAGCCCATGCCTGACGCTCACGTTCTTCAGTTCTGTGGCGGTGACTTTTCTGTCTTTCGTCTTCGCGAGTTTATTTTGGGCTTTCTGTCACCCGCAAGCGAAAGCAATAGACGTGACCGGCGATAACGTTTTCTGGAAGCCGTGAAAGAGAGTGTTCAAAATTCCTGAGCCTCCCTTTCTGATTCCCGTCTGGCTGCTAAGGAATTAGGTCCCAACTGTTGCATTTGACTGATTCCTTCCTTCTGTGCGGGGGGCTCCTTGTGCCCTGTGTGGGCTTGCTGAAAGAGACTGCTCTGGCCACCTGTCACTTCGAGGAGAGATGGATTACTTTCGGCTGAAAGAGCATCCGATACGAGAGAAAATGATACTTTTAAGGTCCCAGCTGCTGGATTAACTTCCCAGGCTGCTCCCGCCCCTGAGCAAACAGCACTGCCTTTGTTGACCCGGGGCGAGGGCATCCTAGACTCCGAGGTGGGAGGGAACGGGGCCCGGGTCCTCCGGAGCGATCCTCACCCTGTATCCTCATGGCTCGGCATGACGGCTTCTGAGGACGGGAGGAGGATCGCCCCTCTGATAGTGTCACGCGTGGGGTGGAAAGGAAGGCGATCTTGGGGGGCTGAGTTTTGAGGCTTGTCCAAGAGCGTCTGGGGGACAGCAGCAGCCTCCTCCTCGTCTTTTCTGAGAGGCTCGGGCTTTACGCTGTTTGGGCTTGAGAGGCAAAGCTAATTTCCAGTTGCAGAAACCTGCTGATGAAGGCGTAAGGAGGGACGGACAGACGGACGGAGTGCTCTGCAGGCCTCGGGGGCGGGGGCGCTGGCGACAGGTGCGTGGGAAGGAAGCTCGCGGTACCCGCTGGCAGGGGCTTTGAGGACGGTGCTCGGCCTGTTTAGAAATCATGACTCAAAGCCTCGTTGCTCATATAAAAACACGTGGGCGCGTGTCCCTTTTGGGGGGAGCTGAAAACAATGGGAACGTTGTTGCCAAGGCACGTGGAGAAATCCATGCTTCCCTGGGCACAGTCAGGGGCTGCAGGTTTTTTAAAAATTTTTTATGTATATTTATTTTTGAGAGCGAGAGAGAGACAGAGAATGAGCGGGGGGTGGGGGGAGTCAGACAAGGGGGGGTACACAGAACCCGAAGCGGGCTCCAGGCTCCAAGCCGTCAGCACAGAGCCCGGCGTGGGGCTCGAACCCACGAACCGCGAGATCATGACTTGAGCTGAAGTCGGACGCTTAACCGACTGAGCCACCCAGGTGCTCCAGGGGCTGCCGTTCTGAAGGAGCAGCCTGGCCTCTGGCTGGGAGGCAGGCCGCCACAGAACGGGAACGGGGCGCCCTGGCGGAGGGTGAGCCCGGCCCAGGAGCCTCCCCCCGCCCCGGCGTCCCCGGTGCCCAGTCTGCTTGTGCCGTGCATCGAGTGGGAAGTTCTGCAGCTGGAGAGGACGTGCGAGTGATGTGTCCAGGGTGCAGACCCACTGGGCGCATCCAGGGGGACCCCGGACTGCAGGGAGGTGTCAGCGTGGCTCCCCAAAGACCAGGGGGCGACGACCCACAGGACCCTGTTAGCCCCAACGCCCCCTTCGCTCAGCCAACGGTCATGCAACCCCTCAGACAGCTCCTCAGACAGAAGCAGGGGCGGACGGAGGAAATCTCGGATGGAAGATTGTTCTGGAAAGCAGGGAGCACCAAGCCGTCAGGGACCCAGACGGTATCGATTGGAGAGTTTCACGTCTGTCCGTTTCCCCCTGCTCCTCCCTTCCCTTAGCAGGAGAGACACAGGGCAGCGAGGAAGGTTAGATCCGTCATAAGGAAGGAAACAAGTTGCGTGTTCTCGGTACGTGTGGGTGGAATTGGGCAATTCCGTGGCCCTTGCACATCGGTTTAAAATCGTATGAAATTGGGGCGCCTGGGTGGCTCAGTCGGTTAAGCGTCCGACTTCGGCTCGGGTCATGATCTCACGGTCTGTGGGTTTGAGCCCCGCGTCGGGCTCTGTGCTGATGGCTCAGAGCCTGGAGCCTGTTTCAGATTCTGTGTCTCCCTCTTTCTCTGACCCTCCCCTGTTCATGCTCTCTCTCTCTTGGTCTCAAAAATAAATAAATGTTTAAAAAAATTAAAAATAAATAAATAAATAAATAAATAAATAAAATCGTATGAAATTGTTTTCGGTTTATCTGGGTCGCACACACAAAACGTTCACGTAATACCTCCGGCCTCACGGTAAAACTTCTGGGCACGCGACCGGACGAAAGTCCCCTGGACCAGCCAGCGTCACCCTTGAGCCCGGCAGGGGCTGCCACGATCTGCTCAGCAGAAAGCGTTTTCCCCGCGTTTGCGTATATAAACGCCCACTTTGACAGAGTCAGGAGCGGGGGACGCGCGGTCCCTGAGGTCTCTCGCTTTGGCGACAGAAGTGACGTGATGACGAGGATGCTGAAGCAGGTACAGCCGGTCTCTGGCCTCCCGTTGGCTGAGCTGGGGCTGTGCCGCGTGTAGGAAGCCCGACGGAGGAAGGTTTTGCCCGTCTGCTCGGGCTGCTGTGACCCCAGAGCCACGGGCTGGGGCTCACAGACAGAGATCCGGGGGTGGCAGGGGCAGTGCCTGGCGAGGACGCTCCCACTGGCTCCCGGACGGCCATCTTCTCGCTGTGTCCTCGCAGGGCAGATGGGGCGGGGTCTCCTATGAGGGCACTGACCCCCTCCACCACGGCATCACCCCCACGACTTACCGGCCTCCCACAGGCCCCGCCTCCTAATGCCGGCCGGCCGGGGACTGGGTTTCCACCTAAGAGCTTTGGGGGGAGGGACACAGACATTCTGTCTACAGCAAAGGCTGAGACTCCAAACCCTAGGCTCTAGCAACAGAATTTCCCGAAGTCAATCTTTGAAAAGGGCTTTCTGACTCTACGGAAAATCGATCAGCTCTAAATAGCTCTTCTGATCCACGCCGAGGGGTGCAAACACCAGGCCCTGCCCTGCCCGTAGCAGGCAGCTGCCTATCTGGATGGCCCTGCGGTGCCCAAGCCACCCGCTGGCCTCTCTGCAGGATCTCGCGTCCTCGACGAGGCTTGGGGGCCGACTGGCTCCGTGGCGGCCACCAGGAGGGCTTGCTGCCCCCCTCGAGTACCCCAGACTATCCCCAGAACCACATTCCTCGGAGTCTGGGGCCTGCCTCAGTTTACTTTCACATCGTGTGGACAGAACTCTTGACGCGGCTCAGCTAGACATCTGCCATTTATTTGCACGGTGGCCTATGCTTTTAAAAGGAAATATTCAGAGGAAATTGGGATAAATTGGGAGGCGAAGCTGATGGACCAGAGAGGTTAAGACGCCTTTGTAACGATTACTTCACCCCCGGTGGCCTCTTCCAAATTCTTCGCATGTTTCGGCTTCCCGGTCACCGGGGAGGGTTGAAGGCAGGACGTTGGATGAGCCCACATCCTGGTCCCTGCGTCGGGGACACCTGCTCCCCAGAGGCCACCAGAAGAGGGAACCATGGGATAAAATCCCAAAGGGAGCTCCTCTCTCCCACTTACGGGACACGGGCTGTCATGTGATGGCTGATCAGCCCCGAAGGTCACTGCAGTGGTCACTCTGAGGTCAGACGTCTGCCCCTCCCGTCCGTCCCGGGACTCCAGGGGGCCGTCGGCAGCCGGGAGGCGGGATGCAGACCCCGGCGGCCGTGGCGACTTTAACGCCCCGTCCGCCTTCCAAAGATGCACTCGTGCCCTCCGGGCCAGACGGGGCGCCCGTGGTCAGCTGCACTTGCGGTGACGTCCTGTGCACCTGACTGGGCAGGGGGTTGACCGTCCGTGCTGCTGCCTGGCAGGTGGAGGAGGGAACTTCCTGAATATTTCATCTTGTACGATCGTCGGATCGCCCCTGGGCTGCGTGTTGAGAAAACAAGGCCTAAAATCATTCCAGCTGAGTGTGACGGAGCTTGGGTCTGGACCCCAGATGGAGTACTTTATCTATTGCCCAGAGCATCGCCCGCCCAAAACCAGAAGCACCTGTTGCCTCCGTCTCTGTGGGCCGGGGGCTCAGGAGGGGCTTGGGGGTCTGTCACAATGTCAGCCGGGGCCGTGTCATCTGAAGGCTCGGCTGGGGCTGCAGGATCCGTTTCCAGGGTTCCGAGCTGCTGGCTGGGGCTTCAACTCCTTCCCCCCCAACACAAACTCTCCCCAACCCCGGGCTCGAGGCAGAAGGATTTGGGCCGTGTGAGTGCCCGCGGCTTCCGCTGGAGCAGGTGACTGGGGAGGGGGCACCACCCCCTCCCACCTGGTTTTGAAAGTGACACATTCTGTTCATCACGAGTCACCATGTCTGGCCTGCCCTGGAGGGGATTCAGTCTACTGTGAAGGGTTTGTGGCCACGTTCGAAAACCACCACAAAAGGGGCACTTGGGTGGCTCGGTCGGTTGGGCGTCCGACTTCAGCCAGGTCACGATCTCGCGGTCCGTGAGTTCGAGCCCCGCGTCGGGCTCTGTGCTGACGGCCCGGAGCCTGGAGCCTGCTTCCGATTCTGCGTCTCCCTCTCTGTCTGCCCCTCCCCTGCTCACACTCAAGCGTGTGTGCTCTCTCCCTCAAAACAAACGAACAAAAAAAATATCTAGCGACCCGCCTGCTGCAGAAATGGCCCAAAGCCCACGCTTTTCTCCGGGGCGTTAGGACGCGTGGGTAACAGGGCAGAACCCGCGGGAAGCCGCTGGCATGGCCCCCCGCGTCCTCCCGCCCCTCCTCTGCCCCCACACAGAATCCTCCCCCTGAAACCCAAACGCCAGCGGGTCACAAGCCGCCCCAGCGTTTCCAACGTCCCCGTTCCTGCCGGGCGGTTTCCCCAGACTCTGCCTCGGGGCTCCGGGCACACCGGGGACGTGCCTCGTTTGAACTCCCGACCCTTGTGCACCTGCTGCCCCCCCCCTCCTGGAGCCGGGCCCCCTGCCCCGAGTCGTCCAACTCCCTCAGCGTCCCCTCTGCCCGCTCCTTCCCTGAAGGGAGTGCAGGCAGAGGCGCCTGCCCCAACCACACAGCTACCTGCTTCACCGGCCTAATTAAAATCACAGGACAGCTGAATTTAATTTTTGACGCTTGATAAATGCCAAACGTCAACGGTGTTTCGTTAACATACTGAATAGCAGTGTCTTTAAGTCACTGTGTTGAAGACGCCTGCCTGATTTCTTGGAGGTGGTTAATCTTCGGTACCGACATCGGGAGGCATTGAATTTCCCGAGTCTCTAGGCTCTCGTCAGGCCAGGGCTTTAAAATGGCCCGAAAGGAGGTAATTGCCCCGGACAGCGACGTCCGTCTCAGCTCTGTCGGGATGTGCGCAAAGGAGGCGGTCCCGGGGTCCCCCGCCCGGTTCTGCCCCGGCTTCGACGTGGGACCCCATCCCGGGACGGGTTTGGGTCCCTCCTGAGGTTCCGGGAGGGCCTCACTGAGCACAACGCGTGAACCCGGCCCCTAAACGGGAGACCAGGACCCCCAAAACCGCCGTGGCCGTCCCGCCATCTCCCCGGCTCTGCGCTCGGGTGCGTGTCCCACGGCCGCCCCCCAGGAGGCGGGAAGGGGGGCAGAGCCGCGGACGCCCTAGTGGCAGAAAAACATCGAGGCGTCGGGAGCGCCCTCCGGGCAGGCTGAGCGCAAGGCCATGGGCGGCTTGGGGTCACGTTAGCAGACGGCGGAGAGAAGCCAGAAGGCGCCGTCTCTCCTTCGGTGCTGTCGCCATCCGGGAAAGAGGCCAGCGCATCACTTGGCCCTGGGGAGACTGCCGACCGGGGTGTGAGGGGCGTCTGGGCAGGGGCCTCTCTCTGGGCGTTTTGCCGAAGGATTGGTCATTCCAAGTCCTCCAGGCAGCGAGGGGTTAACCTGCTGGCCCAGGGGAAGGGGGTCAGAGCACAGCACGCTGCCCCCCCCCGTGACCCTCCCCCTGTGACCCTCACGCTCGGTCACTCATTTTACTGCAAGGGACTCCTGGACAACGGGCTGCGAGGGGCAGATTCGCATGTGTTTCCGGCCTGCTTACTTGTCCTGCAGGTGGGGGTACGGGTGACGGGGGGGGG